TATATATATATATAAGATGTAACCTAACGGTAAGCAGAGTTTTATTTTTTTGTAAATAGTAATACGCACACAATACGAGCTTGTCACTGTGAGCTATTTTCAGGCAGACCTGCGGGCACCACGTGGGTGACACCTGCTTTAAAGTTTGTTTGAATTTCTGTGTGAACATCAGATGTTTTAATTGATTCAAATCGAACATAAAATACGTTCTGCCATTATGATATATTGAAATAGAATTGAGAATAGGTTGTAATTTGTTTCCTTAGATATGATCTCCACACTATATAGTTTATACCCTTATAGCTGTTGAGAAACTAGGCAGAACTGTTCTTTTAATGACTCACAACAAACGAAGTAACAAGGAAACAAAGGCTTGTGTTTTTTTTTCTCCCTCTAAACATCTACTAACTGTTTTTACAACAGTTCCATACATTTTTAAAACCCGGCTTGTGACAAATGTATGTGACCCAGAATTTTCATTATCGGAGAATCTAGCCTAGGGAGTCTGTGTCTTGTGTATCCACACCTTATGCTGAGTATGCATAGTATGATGACAGAGTGAGGCCAAACGACAGCTATAATACCGTTATCAAATGCAAAATGTTGTCATTCAGGAGCTCAAGCTGCCCTCCTTCAAAGGCCAGTCCCCTCAGCTCAACTTGAGGCGATACTTTGCAGACCTCATAGCCATCATCAGCAACCACTTCCGACTGTGTCCCACAGCTCGGCACCTTGCTGTTTACCTGCTGGACCTTTTCATGGACCGCTATGATGTCACGGTGCAGCAGCTCCACATGGTCTCACTCTCATGTCTTCTTTTGGCCAGTAAGTGTGAAACTGCTCCGATGGGTGGGAATGGCCTTTCTGATTTTTGAGTGTAGTAATGTTCTGCTTTCCTTGCTGCAGGTAAATTTGAGGAAAGGGAGGACAGGGTTCCAAAACTGGAGACTCTTAACAGTCTGGGGTGCATGAGCACCATGAACCTAGTTATGACGAAGCAGGCTCTCCTACACATGGAGCTTTTCCTGCTAGAATCCTTCCAGTGGAACCTGTACCTTCCCACAGCAGCTCATTTTATAGAATACTACCTTTCTATTGCAGTTCACGAGGGAGACTTACATGATGGCTGGCCTATGTCCTGTCTGGAGAAAACAAAACTCTATATGGCCAAGTATGCTGATTACTTCCTAGAAGTCTCCCTGCAAGGTATTATTAGCAAGGGATATGATCAGTCTCGTTAATATCAATCTCTGACAAAGATAAATAATTTTACACTTTGTACCTCTTGTCGAATGTTTGGAGAGCTTGCAGTGCTTTTTCTCAGTGAACCAAAATCCTTCAATTTTTCTGAGGTTTAGCTTAATTTGAGATGACTGCTTATTAACACAATCATGTCAAATGGAATGGTAAGCACAGATGAGCATTACTCCAATGTTATTTCTGATGCCCAGAGCATACGCGAATGCCAATGTTGGGGTGTTTTTACTGCTTCAAACAACAAAACGCATGAGGGAAAAGCGGTTAAGATTGCACAACTGTCCGTGTTTTTATGTTGTGTGTTGTGTTTATTATTTACTTTGTGTTACCTGTTTTATAAAGCGCTTTGTTACAGCTGCAGCTGTTGTGAAAGCGTGATATAAATCGGCATGTATTGTATTTTATATGTATTGGTATTTGGCAATGTCAGCTTTAAACGACGCATCCACAAACAAATCGTCAAGTGTAATTTGGCGGCTTGGTCATAAACTCCTGACTTCACAAATTACAGCACAAATATTGCTTTTACTTTGTCTACATGGTGGCTTTCATTTCAGACTCTGGGCTGCTTGATAACAAGTTTCATTTGTCTTCAGGCTGGGTTGTTTGATAAGTACCCACTTGCCTAGTCGCAAGGCCATAGTGCTGCTATAATAATGAAAGCCAGACTTGTTCAGATGGGAAGGGTGAGCAGAGGCTCTTTGAATGAGACAGACCCTTCAAACGGAGTAATTTTAACTTCGCTCTTAGCAAGTGGATGTTTAGTGTGCTGCACTCCTTCATCTTTTGCCAATACTAATCAAAGCAATTCTGAGACCTTTTTGAAGACATCTTGGAACTGTTTTAACTTGAGTGGTGGGTGGGGATCAATAATGTCTCCTTTAAACTCGTACAACAATGGCATCCCACTCGTATGTAGACATAATATTGTCTTCTCTAATTTTGTTACATTTGTTCTTTCCTTAGATCATGTGTTTTTATGTTTTGCACCCTCCCTGGTGGCTGCTGCATGTGTCGCTGCCTCACGTCTCATCCTGCATGTATCCCCAACGTGGGCACCCCGATTGCAGCAGCTCACAGGCTATTCATGGGAGAACCTAGTCCCATGTGCCGAGAAACTCCTCATGTGTGTATCTGACAATTTTTAAAATTCTCATCAAACCTTGTGAAAAATTACTATTGTAAAGGAACACGAATGAAGTACATTTTAATTCAAGGTGACACTGATGCAGAGTCTTGAATATTTTGTCGATTGAACTTTTTTACCCGTCATTCACTCTTTTGTCTTTTTTTTTTCTTTTTTCAGTGCACATGACAGTGATGTCAAAGAGGCCAACAAGCAAAAATGCCAGCCGCTCGGCCAACAACCACAGCAGCAAAGTCAGAAGGTCTTCCACAGTGCGAGCCAGGCAGCCCAGTACCTGCACCGGCCCGGCATGCAGTATAGCCAGCAAGCTACACAGCCAGCTTTAGCCGCAAACCATAGGCCTGCCTCATATGTGGCCCGCACCACTAATCTGCAGGTCTCAAATGGCCCCCTGCAGGGCAGTTCTCAGGCCATCACTGCTTCGTTGGATCCAAAGTCTAACCTTACAAACAGGGCTTACCAAGTCGGCATGCACTACAGTTGTGCTCCATGCTATGACAGGTGATAGACTTTTGGGATTAAGTGATTGAGAAGAAACTAAATTTCTCCAAATGGGTATGACACTGAATGAAAAAGCATGCTTTTAATTTGTAGGGACTTGACGAGAAGGATGCAGCACTTTGGATCACAAGGTTTAAGCAATGTGCAATATGCATGCTGTCGCAATTTTCTGTGGAGAGCCAGTATTAGGATTTTTGTTCTATTGTATGAGTGCTGTCTGAGTACCACTAGTGACTTTGCACTATTGTATTACTCGTATCACAATAATTTTGTATCAGGCCACAATTTTATTTATTGAAGTCAAAGTACCTAAGATGTATTGAAAAGAAAGTGCCTTTCAGCTGTGTTGCTAATAACTGCTCAGTTGAGGCAATAATAGCACGGGGTTCATGTCCGTTTGTGGACAATGATTTTTTTTTGTGAGCGCAATTGTATTTTTCTGTACATGTATAGATTTTTTGTTTACATATTTGTGAACTGTGGAAAGAATCAGTTCACATGCAGAGAAACTGTTGCTCTTCTGTAGACATATTTCAGTCAGTGCTGCGCACTAATGCCCATTTTAAATAAAATACAAATCTCTGTTGAACTCGATCGTCACCGAAAGCAGTGTGTTGTCTATTTGAAATTTCTTTTTGAGGCACTTGAACAAATTAGAACTGTAGAGTGGTGCATCAGCTCTTCTGCGCTGGAAAAAAAGTGACTTTTCTTCTAGATACAAAATTTTGCTTCATCAATTTAAAAAAATGTATGTAACCCTCTCTGTCATCAAATCCCTGAGAATCAGAATCAGAATCGAAACAGTGTTTCAACATTTGTACACTGTCTGTCCACCCATAGTCGCTCATTCACATATAACAAAAATAAGAAGAAAACAGACAAAAGATTTTGCAGTAGAATGTCAACCTGAGGCAAAATACAAGCATCCTTCCATCCATTTTCTAATCCTCTTATCCTCATAGGGGTCACAGGCGCTGCGATTGGCTGGCAACTAGTTCAGGGTGTACCCCACCTAACTGCCAGAAGACTGCTGGGATAGGCTCCAGCATGCCCCGCGACATGGATGGATGGGTCGCGAGCCATGCTTGAGCCTATCCCGGCTGTCTTCGGGCAGTAGGCAATGCACACCCTGAACTGGTTGCCAGCCAATCGTAGGGCGTGCATATACGTGGGAAATACAGTCATATAATATGTATCCCTGTGCGGTCGATCTCCTGGAAGAGTAATCATGTAGTACTCTTCCATACCGGTAGGGAGCAGCAGCAGCTAGGAAATTGCCTTATGCTTCGAGACAAGCGAAGTTTCCGACACTAGACAAAACAATGAAATATATCTTTCATTTAGATTTACGTTTACCGGAGATGCAAACGCACCAATGTTTCCTCTTAGCTTCGCAACCTCGCATTGGTCGCACGCTCTCAGCGACCAAGAAAACCTATCCAGCGCAGTCAGCGCACTGCAACTGAATTAGATACGGTATGTAATTTTTTTCTGTATCAATTTGCTGTGTAATTCAGTGAGTGACAGGTGTCCAGCCAATCACACGATATGATGCAATGACGCTATGCAGCCAACACGACATTGACAGTACTTTCGCAAGTTCTCTGCTCCATAACAATAACAGTGCGGCGGCGATAAGTGACGCTAATGCTAATCCCCTATCATTGCAAAACGACCGCACAGTGAATGCCATACGTCTCCTCCCCAAACCAAAATAAGAATGAACCGCGGTTCTTTTAAGTTGGAATGGCTGTCGGAGGATGTGACAATAGAAGAACAAGCAGTGAAACTGGGTGAGATATTTTCTTTTTCGAGTGCAAAACATGCTAAAGATGTAAGCGAAAAATATGGACTAAATGGAAGCTGGACTACCTCAAGCGAAACGTTCAGCAGGAAAGTCATTTGAATGATGTTGGAATCATAAAAAGACTCAAGATGGGAAAAGGGACTGGTACAATATTGCGGGAGAGCGCAAACGACCGGGAGAAAAAGAACCGGCTGTCACACAGAAAAAAATCCGACCCTAAGCAAGTTAAAGTTCTAATTGACTATATTTTACTTGCCATTAAAACGAATGCACCAAATATTGGATTGATGTTGATTTGATTCCTATTCAATATGTTATAATACTGCGTTAATTTTTAATGTTAAAAAACGCTTATAGTAACAATATAACACTTAATTGTTAAAGTAAGTTTTTTGCACATTCGTGGTGTGCCGCGGGCTTTTTTCAATGAAAGAAATGTGCCGTGGCTTGAAAAATATTGAAAAACACTGTGCTAACCAACCAATCACGGTGCCGTTCTCACGTGGACCCAGATGCGGAATTTTTAAAAGTGATTATCCACTGACGCTGACAGCTTTGGTTGAAGGGGCATCTGCTTTTAATCGAGGGGTCATAAAGTAAAATAATCTTCTGTCCGCACCCCACAGTCAAGAAAAATTATATGGATTGCTTGTCTGCTGGCACCATTTTTTTGTGTTATTGTATAGTAGGCTATTTCAAATTATTCTGCATTGAGATTTCATAGCCATATTTCATAATGAAAATCCAAAAAAGACTGGATTCTCATTAAGTCAGAGAGTCATTTTGAATTCATGGAGAAATTCAGACATGTATCTGTACTCAAAATTATTAGACAGTACATATTAAAATGTCACATTCATCTTTGTTTCAAGAAGTTCATGAACAATAACCAGGTAGGACTTCACTCAATTCAAATAAATACGTTTCATGAAGAAATAAAGGACATTTTTACATTCCTCAATTAAGATTTCCCCAATGCTGTCTCTTTTTTTCAAATCGTGTTGTCATGAAGGAGTAGTGTTCAGCACCACGGTCAGCTCTGTGTATTGTCACTCTATTTCATTGAACCTAACCCTTAAATATAAAATCAAACACAGGACTTGCAGGGAAATAGTGTACTGTAGTACAACAACCTTAAATACGAGACAGCTTTAAAAAACAAAGCCATGTCAAAATATTATTCGTAAGTACGCTCTTGTAGGATTTTGTGCACACGCACAAATTGATGTATTGGCTACATATCGTGTGTTTAAAGATCGCGTACAGCCACGCGAAATAAAATAATGCCTGACGCGTCAAAGGTTGTAAAAAAAACGTCCATTCACGTTTTGTTCCTCTTTATTCGTCTCCCCTTCTAACGTGTGCATTGATTGGCTCTCTGTGATGTGTTTAGCCAATCAGCGATCGCCTACCACGGAGGAAGGAATAAATGCAAGATGGCCCCTCGTATAAAAACAGTCTACTGGGTCGCGCTCACAGCGACACAAAATAACTCTTTATTCTTAATTCGGTTGAAAATTTTCTCTGCGAAGGGTTCTGAAGGGTGACATAAGCTATGGATTGATACGTGTGTGGCACTTGGTAATATTTGGTGTCAGAAGATAGTAGGAAGGCAAGAGCGACAACTTTGAAGCCATGAATTCGTATTGAACTCGGCGTCTTGGTTTGACACACTTGGGGCGGTCAGGAGCACAGCCGCAGACGGCCGGGCCTCGACTCGCTAACGCTAGTTGCTAACTAGCTAATGACTTCGCCTGCTATTATTCGACCCCTTTGGAACCGTTTAACAGCAGTCGTGTGGATTCTATAGTTTCGATTTGAATGTTGGACGGGAATAGCGGAAGGACTCCTGAGTATGGCCGTAACAAGGTAAGATTGGCCCCCGTTACGCTAACGCATAGTTTTAATGTATCGGACTTCACTGAAAACAATTGGCTAGCTAGCATACGGAACAGTGTGGCGTTCGATTTACCAAAGAACGGCGTCCTGAAAAAGCTATCCGAACAGCCGCACTAGATGCAGGACAACGACAACGTGATGACATGATGGTTGGGTCAGCTAACCCCATAAAAACGGAGCATAATTACAAAATAAGTGTAGGTGTAGAGGAGAAATTTTAATCAGCAACAATTTACTTTTGAATTCGTCAGAATAATTAGACTACTTTGGCTTGGATGTGCACACGTCGGACGTTTGAAGTGTTCGTTGTTCCAAGTCCTTTTGGTGTGGTAGTGGTCATCATTTGCTTAGCGATCTACCACGATGCTGTGGATGAGCTTCAGGTATTAGTTTTACCTGGGGGCAAAACCTTTACAGTACACCTGTAATCCACTTCACTGTATTTATAGACTGCTTAAGTAATGCACTGTTCCCCCTTGATTGTTAGACATGGGTCTGCTGTCCCATACATTCCTAAGCAAAAATTACTCCTACTTCCAGCTTCACGTTCCAGATTCCAGTAATTGTAGAGAAATTAACATTGTCTTATGCAGGCCCCACCGTGTTGATTGTTGTTTGTGTTGTTTCTGGTGACCTTTTATATATTTATTTCTAGACTTGATCGTTTGTTCATCCTACTTGACACTGGAACAACTCCGGTAACTAGGAAAGCAGCAGCCCAGCAACTAGGAGAAGTGGTGAAACTCCACCCACATGAGCTCAATAACCTATTATCCAAGGTATGCTTGATTGCCTTACCTCAAAAGGTTTTTAATAGATGTCTTAAATAACCAGATTATCTTGGGGTATTTAGCTGGTTTATTTGTTTTCAGTCATAATTGCTGTGCTTGTCGGACATTTGAATTGTCAATGCAATAAATTGGCTCTGTCTATTCTAAGGTCTTGACCTATGTAAGGAGTCCCAACTGGGACACTCGTATAGCTGCAGGCCAAGCTGTAGAGGCTATTGTGAAAAATATTCCGGAGTGGAACCCTGTCCCAAAGCCTAAAGAAGGTGATTGCTACGACTGGCCATATAAACACTGCATGTTTGTTTGGTTTAGTGATGGACAATAAAGGCTAACATACATGTCTTTAAACCAAATCTGTTAAATTATTTCAACTTCTCTTTTGTGTGAATACACTTTGTTTTGGTTTAGTGAAAGTTATGTTTGGTATTGAAAAAAAAAAAGCTTCAACTTCACTTTATTGTTGTCATAATCTCTAACAAAAAACAACTTGATCAACACTGACTATAACAAATGCTGAAGAGTAGTAGCCTTGCTTGCAAAGTCGTGATTTGTTTCAAGAATGTGGAGCATCTAAGCTCTTAAACACAGTAGACTTTTGTCTTTTGAACTTTTGTCAGAAGGCTAAAGGTGTGTTGTTTGCACTTTTTAAATTTACTGTCATGAAATTATTATTTTTTTCTTACAGAGTCATTGTCACCAGAGGATCCAGCTTGTGACAGGCTGAGTTTCTACCATTTTGACATTTCCCGCCTACTCAAACATGGAGCGTCTCTTCTGGGATCTGCTGGGGCAGAGTTTGAATTGCAAGATGACAAAATGTGTAAGTCAAGCCATCTTAACACGAGAACAATATAGTGAAGACAGCATTTTGAGGGTGTCAATAGTGTGTTTTACAGTATGTCTTGCATAGTGTCTTCAACATTAGCAAGACAATTCCCATTTACACAAAACTGCCAAAAGGCCTGAAAGCACATGTCATTTGCATCCCATTTGTAACCATGTGCTCATTGCTCACTGACTGCTTTTCCTATCGGTTTTATTCAAAAGTATTTTTTCTGATGCACTATTATGTTGAGAGCCAGAGTTACGAGA